GTGCGATTTGACCACTCGCATGTACCCCTGCACAAAAAATTGCCCTGAGTCGACAAGATTGCCCCTGAGGCTGGCAAGGTCAGTCTACTCCTCAAAAAAGTGAGTCTGGTGATGGCATCACGTGCGGTTCAGCCGTCGTTTGTGTGAGCGTGAGTCTTTGTGTCTCCGTGTGTGTGTGTGTGCGCGTGTTGGGTGCGTGTGTGTGTATATATATATATCAATGTATATCACGATTGCTAGCTCTGTGGAGCTTGTGGCGGGAGTTGTCGTTTACCATTCACTCAGGTAGTACAGAACTACTTGTAGGTCGAACTTGCGTGCAGGACCTTATCTGGTCCGTTTGCAATAGTTAAAGAGGGGGCACGGGGTGGGGCCCCGCGCCACCAAGCAAATGATAGATTTTGAGCCAATAAGGAGGCCCCCCTCCACCACAAGGTCCCGTTGTAAAGCAGAATAATGCGATCATCGTGCAGGCTTAAGCTTCATGGCGCTACATACGTGCTTGCATCCACGCTGTCCGAGCTACGTCGACTCTGGTTCCTTTTTTCCCTAGCTTTTGTGGCTTCTTCTCAAGTATATTCATACATATCGGAATGTGAGTGTGTGTGTGCGTGTGTGGCTGTGTTTTTTGTGTCAGCAGCGTTTCATGCAAGGCTCTACGGCCACTCTAAAGATAGGGGGGTTTATCTTTGACCGACGCAAAAACTGATTCAACTCGACTCGTTTCGGCTCCGCGTGTGTTTGCGTGGCCATCTTGGATTTCCTTATGTCTTCATTCGGGGTGTGTGATTACTTCAGTTTCTCTTGCACCACTTTAGCATTAAGTACTGGTTGGGTGGTTGCTGCACAAAAACAACATTCACAGCTGCAAATGTTGCCCGTCGTGAGCTTGCCGTGATGGGAAGCACAGTTTTTACTGCAAGACTAGACTGTTTGCTTGATCATATGTACATTCTCATGTACGTGCAACATGTCTTGTAAATACCTGTAGCATGCACTGAGCAAGAACGCCAAACGAGTGTAAACAACGGACCCGAAAACCAGATGCAGGCTCCCGGAAACGAGTCCCGGCGGGTTCGTAGATTTCTGGCATGAGCGGGCAAGGATGCTGAATCCTGTAGGTATGGGGGTGAGCATAGGCAAGTCCCGCAGGAATCGGTAGCCTTCAAGTGCAAACGTGCCGAGGCGATGGGCTCGAAGGCAAACAGCTCCCCCTACAGGATGGGTGCAACTTGCTGCCGCACTTCGATTTGACTTGCAAGTTTTTTTGGGTCTTGCAGCGCCTTCTGGCTTATGACTGTCAGTCTTATGACTCTAGAAAGGGGCGGGGCACCCGAGGGACACGATCCGGTCTTGCTGAATTCGGCGAGCATCATGTGACAGAGCTTAGAGCCGTCGTGACACCGAAGTAATAACCCGAAGTAGCAACATGAGCGACCTATGGGTTTCGCCTGGATGATATACCATCTTAATCGTAGCCGAGCCACTGAGCGGCATCTTGAGCTTCCAGAGTCCACTTAATCAGAATCCCGCGCAGACACTGCAGTCTGCAGGATCGTGCGGCTCCGAAAGATAGTCGGTGATGAAGTGGCTAGGCTGCAAAGTCTGAAGGACACCATTATTCTGCTCGCACGACATACGGGCCGAAGTGCATCAATGTCGGCTTGAGCTGGGAGTGCAGCCCAGACATACGCCGTCTTGCAGACTTTTGCTCGCGACTCTTCCGTTTCGTGAAAGTCGCGCGAACCCACATTGCCATTTCAGCATTGCGTTGCCTTCGAAAAGCTGTGTCAAGAAGCTTCGTGCGTTGCGGCAAAATGGTTTCAGGTCCATCTCTTTCTGGACGGCTTCAACCCCAATGACATACACCAAGGACGGCTGCAATGTAAGGCATTGCACAATGGTGGCTACGTGGACCTACAGGAGAGCTGGGTGACTGCTGGTTTCTCTCCGCCATCGCATGCTTGTCCGCCCGAGACAAGCTGGTGGACAAGTTGTTCTGACCTTACTGCAGATACGAAAGTGGGTTGGCTTCGCTGCATCGCCCTGCCGGTGGGACATTGTTGCTCAGGTTCACCTACCACGATGCAGCGAAGGGCCTCTATGTCGTACGCTTCTACAAGAACGGTGTCTATCAGGAACGCCGCGATAGGATAGGCGGTTGTGATGCGCAGTATCAAGATGTGACTGCCGTGCTAGGCCGGCTTTTGCAAGGGTTAGTTGCATCGTCTACCCTGCCGCCTCTCTGGAGGATGTCACCATCGATGACTTCTTCCCGGTGAAGTATAGTCAATGTGCTTTTGCTTCCTCGGGGAAGAAGACGGAGGCATGGGTTCAGGCCTTGGAGACGCTTGGCTCGAGCCATGCGCTCTGCAAAGAAGCCGTTGCACTCTGCGCGTTGCTCCCCATCCACGACACATGATTTGCGCTGCAGCTGACAAAGCTCGGGCATGGCTGGCTTTATCGCCATGATTAACCATGTGCATGGAGTCACGGAGAAGGTGGTGCAGGTTTAAAGCAATGAGGCCAGCATTCCAGATACTACATGTGCACGATAAATTGAGGCTCCACGTGGTATGAGACAAGGTGACATGCTTGAAGGGTCTGGAGGTAGCTTCAGACGTCTGTGCGCATGGCCAACACTGCCTTTGTAGTCGTCAATCAGGAGCATGCTTCTGCAGCCTGTATGATCAATGCATGAGCCGTTGATGGATCCTGCAGGAGTCGGTTGGCTGTCTTGGTGCTTTGGCTCAGGCCTTGCAGAGAGCAAATCAGGCCATGCCGAGCTTCGCGCTTGTAAACGTGCCTTGCTGTCCTTCCTTGAGCTTTGCACGGCCTCATACCTGTGCGAGAGCGAAAGAGTGGGCCGAAGTTGCCTGAATCGTCGAACCATCTGTAGTCTGAGCGACCTGCTCGTTCTTCCCTTCTGTCTGCACATTCGCTGTACTTCCTCTGTCTGAGCAGATATGACTGTCCGTAGTTCATGGGCGAAGGATGCAGTTGCATTGGTAGCCGTGCTTCTTGGAGCGCTGCTGGCGGTGCGTGGCAGCGCGGCATCTTGGACGCGGCCTGGGGAAGGTGTCAGCGCGCCCCGCTCGACGGATGAAGCATGATTAAGGTGATGAAGTTTCTCTTTGTCTTCGTCCTCTCGCTTGCTGTACTCCTTCGAACCTGTCTCTCGGCAAGGTGCAGTTTGCCAAGGGACTTTGAGATTGTTTGAGTATCACTGTCCCCTCGTGCTTGCCCTAAGGTATCGCTGCAGAAGAGGACTCCCAGATACGGCCACAAGACATGCAAGACCGTGCCAAGAGCTGGCCGTGTAGATCCCGTAGACCCCACAGAAATACCACAGAGACCACTGGAAGACCGCACAAGGGCCACATCTCGAGACCCACTCCAACACCCCACACCCCAGGCAGCGTCGGGTACAAAACTAAAGCACAAGCGCACACAGACCCACACACAGAGCCCGTGTATCCGTGGAGATGGCGATACCGCCGGGAAGAACCCGAGAGAGCGAATGGTGGCCAACAACTTGGCGTACTGGCCCCGAAAAAAGGTTAGAAGGCTAGACGGCGATTAGGGTCGAAAGGCGCGGAACCGCCGGCTGCACTGACGCCTGCATAGTCTGTCCTACTAACGTAAGAGCCTCATTGTATTGAGTACCACGATGCCTGGGGAACTCGTAGTGACATTGCATGGGGTTGCTGGAGAGGACGGCCATGTGGGTCTGGCCACCCTGCTGGTACTTCTCGTCCTGCCCCTCGTAGTGCCTCGGCGCAAATCCGCGACCCGCAGCAGCACCTCTCCCAAGTGTTGAGCTCGTATCCTCGAGGTCCTTGCAGCCGACAGGCTCTATCTTATCTTTTGCTCGCTCGTCGGTGCTGCGATTGGTGCATCCGCGAGCTACACCTGCACAGGCACCAACAGTCAGAGTTAGCGCGCCACACGCCTCTCGCCTCTCGCCTCGGCCAAGGACTGGTCGTTCTTCCGTGCCTGGCCGTGGGCCTTCTCGTGTCTTTGACCGCAGGCTCGGCGGCCGGGCTCTCGGGAGTCGGGAGCAGCCCGGCGAAAGCCTTTGCTCTGGCTTTTGGAGGACTGGCCGCCCTCGCCTTTCTGCGTTGGAGATGCTTCGGCTGGCGTCTTCTCTCTCCCCCACTTGGCTCGCTTCTGGTCACAGCCAGCCTTCGCTATGCCTTTGACCGCGTGTCCGGGCGGCAAGGTTGCTGCAGGTTGCTGCATGCGGGGGCACTTTTTGGATAGGACTTCGTAACAAGCGTCACAGTGCAGTTTGTGTTGCTGTGGGCTGAACCAGGTCCTCCTGGGCGGTGGCGCGAGTGAGATGCGCAAGCTTTGCGTTTTTTGTTTTTATGTTCTCCGTCTGAGTGCTTCTTGAGCATCGGGTCCCGCCTGCCCTGCCGCCTTGCCCGTGCCGGCTCCTCGTAAGGCCAAGCATATTGGTTGAACTTTGCTGATGAGCCATGGTCTGACATGAGAGCGTTCTCTTCGGACTTCGGGGCCGTGCCACTTGCTCGCATGCACCTGCATGAATACAGATGCTCCGAGGAGACAGTGCGCAGCTCTTGCCGAGGTCTTTCTTGTGCGCCTGGGGCGTCCTCGCATTGCTGGGATGGTATGTTCAGTTTGCCAATCTTCTGGGTTTGGAAGACCCGCTGGTGGTTCCAGATCACATGCTGGCTTTCTTTGACAAGATCCAGGCAAGAAGCCTTGTCTGTTCAGCAAGCCAGCAGGGACACCCCGCTAGGTTTGTTGAGGCTTGCAAGTGCGAGGCATGGTTTCCCTTCGTCTTTGACGGCTCTGGGGACCCTGAGGAAGGGATGCTCGGGAGCCCGAGCGCGTCTTGGAAGCGATTAGATTGTCCTATATTTTCCATCCCTACGATTGCCACTAGATGAGAACGAGAAGATATGAGAAGTCCTGAATGCTAATTATGTCCATGGCCTGAATTGAATTGGATGGGCTGTGCGATTCAACTGCAGGTGCTTGTGCCATTTCTCGAGCATGTCCCGAAGCAGTATGACTCGAAGCCCGAGGCGGAAGAGGATGTAAAGATGATGTAGCTAACATGTACCCTCAGAGGCACGTCCAGGAGCCCGGGTCTTTTATGGATATGCCTTGTTCATCCTTGTTCACACGCGAAATAGGAGGGTTGTGCATTTTGGTTTCCAACCACGAGACACGTGCAAGATCTCAAAGGATGCTCTTGGAGTCTACATCCTTGCTGCTAATTAAGACATCAATGCAGGTCATCATGACCCTTTCTGTGTTCAGCGTGCTGCTGTTGTTTGGCCTTTTATGCAGCAACTCGGCGTCATGCGCTTGTCCTTCACCGTCTCTTTTCGATGGGCAACCGGGAAGTCAGCACATTCTCTGCGTGACGTGCTTTCGTTCTCGTGCTTGTTGATATGTACATATGGAAGTGCCATGAGAGATTGATGCTGAAGAGGCGATGATCCTTGCTCTTCTCTTTCAGGTCGACCGCTGCTGCTTTTGGGCCATGTGGTCCTCATGTCTTGCGCTGTAACACTCGTGACAGCTGGTCGCGCACTCGGGGACGGCGGCAAGCACCCTGTAGTTTAGTGGTTTCTTGCAGTGGCTCCATGAGCGCTCGGGCAAGTCAGGTTTTCTCAGCGGCGATGAAGTGAACAGTTCGCAACATTTGCAGTTCGGTGGAGTCGAAAAGCCGAAGAGCTTGGTGTCAAGGCTGATGTTGATATCTTGTTAACTTCAGGCTTTGGTTGGGACCCTGCCGGCAGGCTGCACCGCTGCAGCTTCGAAGTCGCGGGAGGTCTGGCAGCGCTTGCAGCACTTGGTGGCTATGGGTGCCTTGGGTTGTCAGTGGTGCGGGCAGTCACCCCATGTGAATCTTGGACGGCCCAAGCCACAGCAGGTGCGTGTGTGCCGGGAGCCGACCGGATGACGCATCGCACCCCGAGCTATCAGCTCTGGATGCTGACAGGACTGTCAGACTGCCGCTGACCGCTGTAGCATTTCGTGCATTGAGCCATTGCCAGGCCTATCCGGATGCTGCATCAGTGGCTGGGCTACGCTATTCTGGGCATCATTATCGTCATGGCCTCGACAGGTGCAGCCACCCGCGCGGGGGCTTGTCAGCAAGGCAATGGCCCACGGGTCGTGACAACTTTCCAGCGAGTTCTGGGGAAGATGACCTATGCCATCGCAGCAGCAACCCAGACTCTTGGCGATTCCAAAAGCGGCATATCAGCTGCAAGCTTCAGGCTTGACGATGGTGGGGCTCTTGATTTTCCTGAGGATCCTGGGGTACTTCATTGCTGGGTTGCTTCCTCTCTGGGCATCCTGGCTGTTGACGATTTGTCTGGTGGTGGTGGCAGTTTCGACCCTGGCTTCTAAAGTGCTGCAGCTGGAGGCGGCGCACCAGGCACTGCACCTCATGCCAGCAATGTATCATCATCATGTCGTTCTTGTTGTTGTTGTTGCTGCCGATGTTGCGATAGCCGGCGAACCCTAACGCAGGTCCCTGAGATGTGCTATGCGCCGCCCAGCGCATTCTTGCTTGAAAAGGTGACCCGGCCGCAGTTGGTGGCATGCTCGAAAGAGCTAGGTTAAATCAGTTAAATCGCACCGTCGATGACAGGTTCCGGCTGTCGATGCGCAGATCAGCTTCGCCAGCACCAAGCTTGATCCTCGCCGCATGCTATTCGCGATTTCTTCGCCGGGCTTTTTTGTTTCAGCAGCAGTCGTTCTGAGATTGTGCATAGCCAAACATGCTTACAGTTTACCACTGCTGCTGTGATGCTAGAGCGGCTAGTGAAGTTTGTGTAAGGAGAGCGGCCAAAGCGAGTCGCCGCCTTGAAACAGCAGTCCTAGGGGATCAGTCATCGGGTGCCATCTGGAACAGTAAGCCAGGCACTCTATGAAACCGCCGCTCAGGCCGCAAGCGCCGCAGCCGGCACAAAGCAAGCGCCCACAGCCGCAACATCCCAAAAAAGAAGAGACGGCAGTCTTCAGGACGCTCGAGGGATGCGAGGGCTGCACTTTTAGCGCAGCACAGGCAAGCTTAGTCGCTCTTCTGCCAGAAGCGTGCTCCCGTGTTCGTAGGCGTGAGAAGAGCACGCGCCGCTTGGCCGGAGCGCTGATGGGGAACCTGAGGGAGCATCGACGGCAGGCCAGGCTGCTGCATGCAGCCCATTCCGTGTAGTTGTTGTGACTGTGTAGGCTCTGCTCACCATGTACTTCGGCCGCTGGCAGCGCAGCCTGCTTGCCAATCGCCCTCTGGCAGAAGTGCGAGAGGATCGGAACGCAGGGCTAGACTTATGCAAGACCTGAATCATGGTAGCTTGCTTGTCGACGTCGCGTCAACGTGTTTGTGCTTCAGGTTTGTCTCGGACAAACATGGAAGCGGCTGAGAACAACAACCTGGCAGATTTTCTCTCCGCCAGTCTTGTGGTGTCATCCGCCTCCGAAAGCTTGTGCCAAAGCAGGGGCCTAACGACCGCTTGATCCTAACGTTTGGGGCGGTGCTGCGGACTGTTAGGATCTGTGAGTTTGTTTCGTCACGGAAATGTTTGAATCTCTGTTCCACTTGCATCCGAATTAGCTTTGTCGTGGGGCTTGAAATGCCTCTCAGCCTTTTAAGATCAAGCTTCTGCTGAAGGGTATGTAGATAAACACGGTGCGAGGCTGCCTTTTTTGGCAACCTGGCGAAGTTTTGTGCCCGTTCTGAGCTTCTGGACATTCCCCTGCTCCTTCCAAGAAGCGGAGCTGAGGAGGTTAGCTTTCGGGATCGGGGCCTCGAAATGGGATGCCGATGGCAAAGTCTAAAATCAGATTCTGAGTCAATGCTTCGTGAGTGAAAAAACCATTGTCTTCACAGCATTTCGCGACCCGAGCCTCCACTACAGTACAATTCGGGATTCCGGGCTTCGTGCACAAAGCGCGAATCCATCCTCACCAAACATCGTAAGGTGGTCAAAGCGCCATGCCACCCGAACCTGTGAAAGCCTGCACTTGCGTGCTTGCAAGCTGACTCCGTAGATCCTTAGCCAGCTCCTTAACTGGGGTCTGCAACATCCAAAACCAGACTTCCCACTGCCCAATAAGGAAAGCCTATGCCAAACTCCACGGCAGCTACGATTCGATAGAGGGCGGCTTCGTCAACGATGCTTTGGTGGATATGACAGGAGCCTTGCAGCGATCATTTGCGCTTGGTTTATTCCGACGCTATGGGATGCCATGCATTTGCCGTCCATGCTTCAAGCTGTCGCCATCACTGACAGGAGGCATTGGGGAGAAGATGCACCTTCATGACAAGGCTGCACGGAAAGACGCTCATTTACACCTTAAATGACTTGCAAGCACTGTGTGGCCGGTAGCGACAATGTCTTGTCGGTCTGGTCTATAAAGACCGGTGTACTCTTGGTGCAGCTCAGGAAATCAACGACGGCACGATGTGGGCGAAACTTCTTAGCCTCGCAAAAGACGGCCACCTGCTAGGCCAGTCGAAAGCAGCCACAGCAGCTTGCTGAGAGTCCACGAGTGCAGGCTGCGGGTCGGGATCCGGGAAGGACACGGACATCAGCCGGGTACTGAGATGCGCATGCGCGCGCCTAACAGGCGCCCTCTGCTCAGCAAGCACGTAAGTTTCATTGTCCTTGCCTTATCTTTCTGTTAAAGGTGATATGGGCATTGTGAACCTCGGAAAGCATTCATCGCATAGTTGACCTTACGACCCAACCGAACACGTCATGACTGTGTATTACTTGAGTCTGTGACTATGCGGAGTTTCATCAGACGGAGACAGCCATGCGCCTGCACAGTTTTGAAGAGCCAGCATAGCACTTGCAAGATCTTGCAAGTAAGCCCAGCTCGCTGTTGAATTTGCCTGGAACTGATTCTCTTGAAGACATTGCCCTCAAACCCAACTGCGCCGGACCTAAAGCTTCTTTTGGAAGCCACGCAAAGCCGGCAGAGAGCGGACTGAAAACACAGGAAGGGCCATGCCTATTCCATTCTGCGGGTGGAGGAGGCCTTGACAGGGTGAGGGCTTGGTCAGAGCTTTTCCATCGCACTGTCTGTTGCTGAATGTTGCAGGTGGAGGGAAACAGATTGCTGCAGCTGCGCAATCCATGGGGCCCCTCGCTGATTTAGCTCCGCACATAGGTGTCTGACATCTTGGTTAGCAGCTGCAGCTCGTTAGGCTTCTGACAAAATCCCCTGCTGCTACGTTGAGGATCTACTGAATGGAAAGGAAAGTGGAGTGTCCAGTCCTTAGTGGAAACAGAGGGCCCCCTCAGCAACGAGGGGGTGCTGGGGAGCTGCGGCCCTTGATCGCTCAGGATGGCGACAAAGATAGTTGGACGCAGAAGATGAAGAAAAAGCTTGCCCTTCGACTGAATGTGCAGCGCACTCTCTGAGGAAGCTGTTTCTGTGCAATCTGCATAATAGGGCTATGTGAATGCCAATGACGGCTCCTTCTGGATGGCCTTTGAAGACTTCGTGAACCACTACCGCTGCGTGCAACCTAGCAGCAAATTACCTTGTTGATTTAGTCTTGGGACCGTGAAGATGGTAGCCCGTAGCACACACGCGCCTGCCGAGGTACATTTGTCGACTTTTCGATGATAGCTGGAACCGCGTTTTCGTCAACTCTGAGTGGAGGGGCGAAACCGCAGGCCATCGGCAAATTTCTGGCAGAAGATGGCTCGTTGCTGTTGTTGACTGCCTCCCTCTAGCCCTATGCTGCTGGAGCATTGCTTTTGAGGCGGTTGTCGAAATTTTCCGACCTACGAAGCTTGGTGTGGTATGTACTGCCCATGCAGGTATCGGCAAAGCATGTTGAACAGCTCAGGAGAAGAATCCCAAGATTCAGCTGATTGTCAAGGGACGTGCTCTTGCCCCGGCTATCTGCAACCCCTCGGCCATGCCCCAAGCAGTCGAAGCATGAGTTCTCTTGTCAGCCCAGGTGAACCTCATCCTCACCTTGGAGCAAGCAGACTCCCGTGGTGGATTTGACGGCGACGAAGAGATCCCCATCGGTTTCAGGGCAGCTCGGCCATATCACGATTGGATTGATTGCATTTGCTGCCAGTGTTGCCACGGCACGTGACAGAATTTGTCAGACAGGTCTACCGGGATCGCAGCCTTTCCGGAAACGGAGTCTGCGGCACGTCGACCTATGCCTACGATAGGGAGGCATGGGGCGCTCAGCAGTTCAGGGTCTGGGCTGCTAGGATTTCTAAGTGGGTGCCGCAACCTCGAGGGTCTGTTCTCGTCAGCAGATTTCGCACCGCGACAGTTGTGGGTGAGACGATGACACACCTGTCAGCTTTGCGTGGATGTCGAGCTGACGGAGAACACAGCTGGCCCCTACATCATTCTTCCCACCGCCTTCAAGCCGAATATGGAGAGAGGCTTTATCTTGCTGCCCGGCCGCACCTTGCGCACCCGATTGGCTATTGAGTGTAGCCGTCAACCCTAAAAAAGCAACAGTGCTTTGAGGCCGGTGCGACTTTATAGAGTATAGCAGGTTAAAGCATGCATGACATGGGGCAGTCCATCGTGAGATGCGCCTCTAGCCGTCGTGTCAGAATATCTGAGACTTAAAAGCGAGTGGCTTTGTAGTTCAAGGTCACGCTGTCATACTGCTTGCAGGAAGGCGTTCTGGAAAGGTGCCCCGGATGTGGTGCAGATGCAGAAAGATTAGAGGCAGAGGAGAGCGGATGTCACGTCTGAGACGGAATCTGAAGAGCCCAGCTTCCGGCAGAGAGATTGTTCTCCACTTGTGCATGATGAGGGCAGCATGCCAAGCGCAGTCCCTTGAGGGGCCCTGCGTTGATTATTACATGATACGGTTTGAGACGGCACACTCACTTTTGAACCATGCGAGCTCACAGCCTGAATAACAGGCAGTGGGTGCTTCAACAACGTTCTTGCTGTGACGATCTCTGAAAGAGCGTCTGTGCCTGGACGGTAGCTTAATCAGTCTTGCACCAGCCCAATATGGGCTGGCAGCGCGACGATGACACACCTGGTGCACTGACGCAGAGTCTGGGTGTAGACATTTCATGCGCATGCAGGGTCGGAGCAAGGAGTTTCATGCGCGGTCGGAGCAAACAATTTCACATCTGCTTTCCTCTGAGTCTAGAGAACCGGCTCATAACCGGATGCGAAAAAAGAGGCTTGCACCTGTGAACAGGAAGCTCTGGCCCGTCGCCGAGCGGATCTCGCGCCCAGCCATCTCTGGCTGAAGGCCCCTGGCCCTGGCGTTCGGAGAGCGATGAGCGATAGAGCACTGTAGCAAGGGAAGGACAATCCGGCTTAAAGAAACGGGGAAGCCGTGCGCCTCCTTGCGAAAGGCCTTAGGAAGCCATCCAAGGTCATTCACGAAAGTTGCACGGAGTGGCGCAAGCTTGTCTCCCTCGAGCTCATCCACGGAAGTCACGGAAGTTTAGCTGCCCCTACTCCCTTGGCCCTGGGCATGTCAAGCAAACTGAGGCTGCCATGCAAAACCCATGGGCGGGGGAAGCCACTCCATCAGCTGCCCTTCTTGCCGAGTGGGATGCAGACCTCAGACAGATGCGTTCCATGGGCATCAGGGACATTATTGTAGCATTTAGTTGTGGCAGCACGGGGTTCAAAACTCGCTCCTCAAGCTCCGCCCTTGCAACATCCGGCTCACACCACACGGAATGCGTGCTCATCCAAGCCACCGTGAGGGATGACAATGATGAATGATAACACAATCCATGTGGCATGCCTCAATGTAAGAGTCTCTTGAAAGTGGGACTTCGGAAGGTGCTTGCCAAAGCCTGCAATGTAGCCAGCACGAAGTGTGCAGACCAAACCTAAAGTTCACGCAACACGGTCTGTGTCATATCCAAATAGCACGGGGGGGGGGTGGGCAAGCTGCTCCCGTTCAGCAGGTAAGGCATGGTGGCAAGCGGTAGGTAGCATGAATGGTCGATGACAGTGTATGGAGTGGGCCGTGTCACTCGCTCCCCAAGTTAAAGAGAGACTCTGGATAAATTGCTCCGTGCATGTGCAGCGGAAGAAGCGAGAGAGTTATTCGGTTGCTTCTCTCATTGTGGAACGCTGGATGTGGTGGTTTGGGGCGAAGGATCTAGTCGCTGAGAGATGGCATCTGACGAACACTGTCAGTAGAGTGATCAGCTGTGCCTCTTTTTCGTGCAGGCTGCTTCAAAGGTCGCGCTTCAAGGCATTGATGCTCAGGGGGCAGGAAGTGTCGCTCTGGGCACATGAGAGCACAGCTGACCAGGCGAATACATTAAGGTTCCGAACCGGCTGGAGCGCGGCCAGGCCAGGCCATTGCAACATGCGCAACTTGGACCGTCTGTGGTCGCAGAGCTTGGTGCGGCAAAGTCCAAGGGATGATTTCCTCCTGGTCCTGTGTGGCAAAGCACGGCTCGGTCCGGGAGAGGGGTTAAAAAAAAACT